TTGATCGTATTGGCACTGTGGATGTGATTAGAGAATTGAATGGCTTTTGACTCGATGCATGACAACTTGAGTGTGACTAAGATAGCCTATTACGATGACTGAGATGCGTAGTAGAGTTGTGTAGGGGTTCAGTTTTCAACTGTTTGCTTACCAACTGCAACTTGCATTTGATCACTTGCTTTTGACAGTCATTTATGCATCTAGTTCAGGGAATCAGAATGTGAGATAGAGCATATAGGTAGCCATGTGAGATTTGAGCTTGCTCGTTTCTTTCTTGTCCGATATATCCCTCTTCCATGAAATGTAGCATTCACGTTGTCACTAGCTAAGATGATGGTGGCATAGGATTAGCCCACGACCAAACCGACTGTCCTAGTGTGTCATACCCCTAGTCAGCCCCTTTGAGCCGTGTGTTTTCCTTTCTTTCGGTCTTCAATGAAAAGTCACCCTTTTGCATCTTTTAGAAGGTTCCACAGAGTGATTTTTACATGTTCTCTGCTATTTCTGCTAAATGTAATGTGAGGTTGGAGGTAGTGCTTAAAAGTTGGGCGTGTAATTGAAAAATGTGCAGTAACTGAAAAATGTGCAGAGGTGGTGGTTCTCTTAAGGAATGAATAAAGAAAAAATAAAGAAAAACAAAGAAAAAATGAAAGCAAAAGAGAGCCACCACCAAAATTCTGAATAGTGCCCATTAAGTAGTGTTTCCTAGCAGTCTGGCTTGGAAATGCTAGCATTCGTATAACCTCCTTCGCTCTTGTGACCTGAAGAATTTGATTAATGCAGAATAGCAGGACGAAAGTTACTGGTTTGCTTGATTGTGGTTTTGTTGGGTTTGGAATTGTGGAACCTTGTGCTATAACTGCCACCACCTAAAAGGCCTTTTCCCCATGTCCAAGACCCTAGCCAGTCATTTGAACTGTGTCTAAGACCTCCGGATTAGTTAGTGGTGACACCCCCTTATGTGAACTCTAGCATTTAGAGGCTGCATTCATGGTGAAGAGACGTTATGGATTGAGAGAATAAGCATGCACATTTTTCGCATCAATTTGTCCTGACCCCGCTGGTCGAGAGTGAGTGATTCATTTCTCATTTTTCTCTAGTCTCTTTACCCCGGTGAGGACCTAGATTGCTCGGTCTTAATTCTGATATCTTGAGCTTTGTGCATGAAGTGACTATTTTGAACAAGTGGATGGAGTCAAGTCTATGTTGGTTGGTGAACGGGAACAGAACTCTTCCTTAATATCGACTTTATTACATTCGAATGCCATCTTGGTGGTTGTCTAGGTTGTCGTTCGAGTTGGCCATGTATTGTGATCGAAGCCAATATGATCCACGTGTTTTGTGCCAATATGAATTTGCCTAAAGCCTGCTTGATTGGGATGTCCTCGAGCTTACCTGGTGCCTGACTTGGTTTGCTTAGGGACAAGCAAACGGTTAAGTGTGGGGGAGTTTGATAACGATGTAATTGCATGATTTTATACCCCTATTTCTTATTCATTTGCGGAGCATGGTTGTGTGTTTTGGCCTATTTACGCCGGGTTGTGCTACTTTGTCCTATTTCAGGTCCCAGGCGTCAAAAGGAAGGCCAAGCGCGAGTTTCGGATAGTTTGGAAGTCGTTTGGACGAGCTAGGGCCAAAACACGGGCAGGAGGCCCTCAGAACACGGTCGTGTTCCTGGCCGTGTTTTTATAAAACCGCCGAGACTGCCCATGTGTGGCTTGAACCACGTAAAAACACGGGCTAGGCCTGAGACAGAACCGGCCGTGTTTTGCACAGAACACGCCCGTGTTTTCCCAGGCACGTGGCCGTGTTTTTATGCCAAATCCAAAACACGGGCGTGCTGGACCAGAAAACACGGCCTGTGCCCTCGACCGTGTTCTGGCCAGTGATGCCCGTTTAGGCAGATTTCAGCCAAATTGAGAGGGGATTCGAGTTTTAGAGAGACAAGCGATTCCTAGAGAGAGAAAGCGACTAACAAGAGTCTCCAAGTGCCCTACTTGATCTTCATCACCATTGAGCTTGGCTTGAGCTTGGAGAAGTGCCGATTCATACTCCAGGAGCAGAAATCCATCTTCACAGTATGATTTCCGCGTCTGATTTCGCTTTTGCTTCTTTCTCCATGGAGTAGTTCTTCCCATTCATCTGGGTGTGGGGAACCCTATATCTTATGTTAGGATTGATGTGTATGAACCCAAGTACTGTTTTCTATGATTTGATTGATATTCGATTGAAGGTGTTGATGATTGAGATGGCATGAAATCCTGATCAAATTCCCGTTGTTTCTGCTTTAACCTAGAATGATAATATATTCCTAGGTTGATAGAGTATCCTTAATCGAAGGTAGTGAATTGGTGACTTTAGTCGAGGAGCCATTCACTATTCTGACCGAATCCAATTCGGTAGTGGAGGTTTTGTTCATAGGGCCTCATCTGTTTACTCCGGTGGAGGTTAGTCGCGCCGCTAGATACGCAGATTGAGAGGGTCTGAAGACCTTTAGTCCGAGACTTCAGACTGTTTGAGAACCTGCCCGCAGTATACTATCATAGAAATTGAACTTGGTATTACAATCCGGCTTAACTGCAGTCTAGGGGGAACCATATCCGGGTGACCTCTCTTAACTTGAAAACAACCGTTTAGTTGCTTTGCTTGCTTGTTAGTTTAGATCTTCACTAAAGTTTCATTGCTAGATAATACGAATTCACTGAGTAGTCATCACATCTAGGACCCGGGTTGACATTAAAACCCAAACCCGCTATACTACGCTTTAGGAAGTGGTTACACTTGGCCATTTTCTAGAGTGACAGTAGGAGTGAGTCAGATTTCCATGATGTTGAAAGGTCGGAACATAGCCGCCGCTGCAGCTTGGGATAATCGAGGGAAAGCATTCTTGGGGAGCCTGTCTTCATAAGGGGAGTCATCCTGCAAGTACGTGTTAGTAAAAAACTCAAAAACAAGAGAAGCCAGAGCTTGAGAGTTTGTCACCCAATTCCCGTTGTCATCCTGCAGGGCCTCAATCTTGTTAAAACGTCTCCTGATGTTCACTTGCTGATGAAAATAAGCCGTGTTCCGCTCCCCGAATTTGACCCATTTATCTCTGCACTGTTGGAACCAAATAAGCTCCTCCTGCTCCATGACCTTATCCAGCTCAGCCTCTAGCTTAGTGTGAAGTTTGGCCAAGCCTGGGGCAAAACCTGAAGCTAGCCGTCCCTCGATTCCCTTCAGACGAGCCACTAGCCTCTTCTTCTTAAGCTTGATATTTCCAAAAGTGTTTACGTTCCACTCGGCTAATTTACTAGAAAGCTTGGAGAGGGCATCCTGCCAAGGGGCAAGAGGCTCCCATGACTCTGCCACCACATTCTGTAAGCTCTCATTAGTAAACTAGGCCGCCTCGAACTTGAAATGGCGAGGACTAGGTTGCGACCCTTGATTCAGCACCACCGACGTGAGTATAGGGTTGTGATCCGATTGGATTCGGGGAAGGTGCAGGACAGAGGTGTTAGGGAAATCCGTGTTCCACCTCAGGTTGCACATGCTCCGATCGAGACGGCTGGCCTTGAAGGTTTGCTGACAATCGCCTCTCGTCCAAGTAAACTTTGGACCCGAGTACCCGAGGTCAACGAGCTCTGCAAGATTCATCCATTCATTGAAAACCTCACACCGTCTCAGAGTATTCCTTGCCGGGTGGCCCATACCTCTTGTCCGGTGAGCTAATGGCATTGAAATCCCGGTGATCAGCCACGGGATGTCGATGCACTTACTCTGGGCAATCAGTTGTTCCAAGAAATTTCTGCTCACTAGGCCGAGGAGAAGCGTAAACTGGCAGTCAAAATCCACTGGCGGCCCATTGGTCTGAGAAACTCGTAGGGAGATGTGCTGATTACAAGCGGAGACGAGATGCGTAGTGAAAACCCCTGCATCCCAGAAAACCCAAACACCGCCCTTCCTCCCTTCTGCTTCCACGCGCATCGAGTTGGGGAACCCAACTTGTCACAGACTGCATTTGCTGAATCGCCACTGATTTGGGGTTCGAGCAACACTACAAAGTCCGGCCTATGATCCTTGATAGACATTTTCAGAGCGCGGGCAAAAGCTCTACTACCTGCGCCACCAACATTCCATGAAAGTATTTTTAACAGAGACATTATTGACATAGCAAAACCAGAAGGGTACGACTAGGGATCCAAAATCGAGCTAGCATTAGGTCAGGGTCTGGGATTCATTGCTTCCACAATCTGTGGGCGCGTTGGTGCCGCCTGTAACGACTACCACCTTCTCCCCTGAGTTTCCAGTGACTTCTTTTGCGGCTGCTGTCCACGCATTTATTTCCTGCAGGGTGAGCGAAGCAATTATGGCCTTAGATTTAGGCTTCCTTTCCTTCATGGGGGACCAGATTTGCAGCGGCTTCGCGTGATTAAACTTTGCTGGCGATTTCTTGCTTGCTGTCTTCTTACTCTTGTTTCATTTGGTTCTGGTCGCCACCGACGGCGAGGGATTGTTCGAGGCATTGCCATTGTTGTTCGGCTTCTAGGGGGTCTCAATAATCTGCAAAATGGTGCCGTTCTCACCAGTTACTGTACGAACAGTGGGTGGTGGGGAAAGAATGGCCGTCGCCTTCACAAAGCCTGCCGATCCAAGACCAGTTGGTTCTGGTCCTGGGGACGAAGTGGGCTGAAAGCCCGTCTCGATAGATGAAGAGTAAGCCCCATTGAAGGAGCTGGACGGCCCTGAGGAGTTGGTGACTTTCTGAAAACTGGGCCCCGGCCCAAGGACTCCCTTTCCTTTCCCGGAAGCATCCGTTCCCGCCTTTTCTTTGCCGCGTATCGTCTCCGAATTTCCTTTCTTACTATTTGGGGATTTCTTCACATGAGAGGTTGCCGATGATGGTAAGGGACCGTTGAGCGTTTTTCTGTAAAGGCAAGTCTTGGGGAGGGTCTTTATAGTCGTTCCTCCTTTCCCACTCTGGGGAAGACCTTCCTTATTAGATTTCCCTGTATCACTCTCTAACTTTCCTTTCTAGGAGCTTCCCTCGAATTTCGCCGGCTTTTCCTAGTCACCAGCATCCATGGCCCAAAACCCGGATTGCTGTCCGACGACGACGTTGCTGACGCCGACGACGTTGCTGACGCCGACTCCAGTGAGATCGTCAAGTTGGAAAGAGACTCTCGAATTGCCGGCAAGGCCAATATAGGCGCTGGTTGATTATCCGGGCAAAGACCTCCGGTCATGCCCGATCTTCCCGCATTTGAAGCCACAGCCTCTGATAGATTCTCGTATTCCACTTTCTGCCATTCATCGTCCAACCAAATCCGGGGCACCAGGTGTTTTGTCAAGTCGACCTCGACCGCTAGTCGAGCGAATTTTGCACGCTGCTGTGTGAGGGTGTGGTAGTCAAGCTTGATTGTTCTTCCAATAAGGTTCCCCAGGCTGGTCAGGATCTCTCTATGATAGAAATGAATTTTCAGAGCAGGAAGTTGCACCCAGACTATCATCGTCTTCGGAAGAGGGTCCGACGCCTTGAACCGGGGGGACCATTGTTGAACCACCAGGTAGTGATCGTAGATAACCCAAGGGCCATCTGTGAGGGCGCGGTAATAGTCCTGTTCATTGTCCAAATTAACTAGGAAGCAATCGTGATCAGGTCCTTCACTTCCATGTTCCCCTGCGGCCGCCACACGCCCTTTGAGTCGATTACATAGGTTGGTAAATCCGATCCGCAACCCTAGAAGACGAACGACCAGTGCTCTTTGCCACGGTGCACAAAATCTTGGACTTGAAGTCCGCTGAAATCGTCAGGGCCGGTTCGCCATTATATTTTCCGGGCACCAAGTCATGTTCCCCCACCGGCGTCCATAGGCGTGCTTGATTCTGAAGAGGGATCGTAGGCATCTCTCACATGACCGTTGCCGCATAGGAAAATCGTTGTTGGCGAGCCCCTGTTGCCTCTTGGTCCGATCGGTCCTGCGTCTTCCCGTTAGCTGTGCCTTGCGGAGACAAAGACATAGAATCAGAATCATAATCATGTTAGAAGAGGACGTGGCCAAAACCACGTTGACTGGTGTAGAATCTGGAGCGGCTATCGCCAAGCGTCGAGGTGGGTCTGGCGGCCGATCCGAATGCAAAGGACAGGCGCCGGCGTCGTGGTTCCGGTGACAGCAGTTGAGAGCATCTTTTTTTAAGTGCTTGTAATTAAGTGTCATATATGTAATACATTGACATAAACTGAAGGAATTATTTACTGCTGCTTTCCATTAAAAATGACAGGGAAAAAATCGGTGCTTCAGATAAGAACTCGAGAATAATGGGAGCGGATCCTATCAATAACCTATAGGTGAATAATTATTCATAATTCAATCAGAATCCGACACATCAGCATCTCTTTCTAGTGGAAAGTCTTTAATATTTTCTTTTTAATTTTAACGGACGATTTCTCTCTCGTTATAAGTCACAGAATTTATATTTTTGTGCACAGATAAATTAGATTAATTGTGCTCTTCAAAATGATATCCATGATATATTTTTGAAAACAAAAAAAATGAGACATTTTTAACCGGTTCATACCACGGTTGATATTGATTGGTATCAAAATAAGAGCATATCACATGGTATGAAAAGCGTATAACAAGATACCACCCTTATATCAGGATGGTATAGTATGGTATTTTTGGTCCTATGTTTTTTTCACCCATAAATTTTTAGATCAAAATAGATCATGATGAACTCGTTCTTTCTGTGCAAATATTTTAAAAAAGCGACTTAAAAACGAAGAAGATACCATATGAAGTTGGTCACGAGGTATGAAAAAATCTTCTAAAAAAGTATTAAAAATGGATCTCATTTTGTAGAGCACAATAAACTTGTTTCATTTGTGCAAAAAAAAAAATGAAATCTAAGTTAGAACGAAAAAGATAAGAGCCGATTAAGAAAACTATGGAAAATAAAATATTTTTAATTCTCCACCCTTAGATCTGGATTTTCTGTTTTTTTTTTAAGTAAGGTCGAGATTTAGTTATGCACCCTAACTTGAGCCGAGACCAATGGCTACGAATAACTGTTGCTTTCTACTCAGCCACTTTCTTTATTATTTTTTTCAAGCTATAACTTATGTATAATACATTTGATTTATATGTAATATCCCGAACCATTTATACATAACTTTCAAGATTCTCTGGGGAAGCATGTTGTAGCTCTGCTTAGGGGTAGCCAACGGGAAACAGGTATTTGGATATACCCATACTCGTTCCGTTTTTTTAGGGTTACGGGTACCCAAATTCCCGTATTTTTTTTTACGGGATGAGACATGGGATGAAGAAGTTCTATAACGTGTACCCGCAGGTAACCCGTTAACACCTGTTTGGATATTACGGGTACCCGTACTTCCCGTCCACCCAAATTTTATAAAATAAATGGCATTTTATGCTGCAGCAGCCTACGGTATACAACTCAATGTACTTGCCTGCGGCTGGTCAAGTAATTAAGGTCTAATTTTTACATTGTGCTGTCCAATTAAGCTAATCACCTTCCAATCGCTATTAGAAAGTGATGGTTAATTTTAACATGTTTGATCACACGTTCACTTATTACACGCTAATATTTTTTCATTTTGCTAATCTTGCTTTGATCTTGTGAGGAAGTTCCATTGATATAGTGAGATACTTGCTTGTGATAAACATGCGCTTCTTCTTCCAACAACTTATATAAGGAATCAGCTACTATCATGCAATGGTAAGTGAAATATACTCTGTTATCTTGATTGGTTTTTTTTTTCCTGACGTTGTGTTCTCACAAAACTAGACGGCGAATGGGTACTCGTTAACCCGTACGGGTTTGGGACATGGGATAAAGTTTTCTCTCCAATTGGGACCGGGTACCCGTTTCAAGCGGGACGGGTACCCAATCCCGTCCCGTTGTCCAGCCTTAGCTTCGCTCTGTTAATAGTATAGGCAGTTGCTTTGTGAACTGAGTTTAAGTGAATTTAGTAGATTATGCAGATTAAGCCGTCTTAGACAAGCCCATCAAAAATAACCCGGTCAACAAAAGAAAAAAATTGTCGATTCTTACGCTGGTCATTGCTTTGACATTTTAAATTTATTCTTGAATAAGATCACTATGGACTGTCAAAGCGACGGGAGTTACAATAGGGGTGGGGGCAAGCCCACTGTTATAAGACAAAATTGAAAGGAAAAAGAAAGCAAACTAGTGATTTCGAAAAAAGCAGACTAGGATCATCTATTCAAAAATCATCCATTACAGATTTTTAAAATCACTCATTTTGTCACGGGGAAGGGCGATGGTCTGATGATAAGCTTAGCCAATGGTTTGACCCGCCTACCTGCAGCGCCATTAAGGCTATTCCACTTCCGCGGCGTAATGTGACTGATAAGCTTATCTGGCATAACACGACAAACGGGGCTTTCTCGGTAAAGTCAGCTTACCATTTGGCTGTAGAGTTGGACAAGAGGAGGGGTGGGTGGCGATCCTCGGCTAGTTGGATTGATAAGCCAAGTTGGATCAGGGTGTGGGAAGCTAAGATCCCACCGAAGCTGAAGGTCTTTGTCTGGCAAATTCTTAACCGTGCTCTACCAACTACGGAGGCGCTTATTGAGAAAAAGGTTCATGTGCTGCCCCGGTGTCCAGTTTGCTGGGATAGCCCGGAGACGATGGAACATCTGTTTCTTTATTGTCCGGTCGCGTGGGCTCTCTAGGACTATTCAGGGCTGGAATACTTGGGGGAGGGTTTGCCTCGGCACACCTTTCCATTATTTCTCAAATGTCTGCTGGCGTTGATCCATCAACCGTCGTTGGTTATGGTTGTTGTTGCCATCCTTTGGCGAATCTGGCGGTCTCGTAATTGGGTTGTCTTTGAAGGCAAATAGTTTGGGATCCCTGCCCCGCGACAATTTAACCAACAATATGAGGAATGGATGGGCTTGCCAACAGACTAGGCTCCTAGGGTGACGAGTCTGTTGGTTCAGCTAGCGACTCAAGTGGGTGATTCACGGTTGGTTTGCATGTGGGATGGGGCCACTAGGAGTGGGTCGCATTCGGCTGGTGGGATGGTTATTTTTGACCTGGAGCGGACGCTACTTCTGGCAAAAGGGGTTCAGTTTCTACAAATGGATGATCCAGCAGTGGGGAAATTGCTTGTGCTTCGGGAGGCTATTATTTGGTGTTTGGAGTGTGGCTTGTTGGAGGTCCGGTTCGAGGGCGATGTGAAGGTGATTATTGATAAAAGTAATCAAGTCGACACAAGGGATAACCAGTTGGGTGCGGTTCTGGAAGAGATAGGTCATTATTTTCGCACCCAGCCTGGGTTTAGTGTGCGATTTATAGGTCGGGAGAACAATAGGGTAGCTCATTCGGTAGCTAGAAAAGCCCTCTCTTTGTATCCGACTATGTGTCGCTTCTTTGATTTCCGGGCCTGGCTGGTTTCCAGGATGTAACTATCTATTTATTTTGGATCAATATATGATATCTTTTGACAAAAAAAAATCACTCATTTTGAAACGTATCAATTTTCAAACGAATTATTTAGTGAAAAATCAGGTTGAGAAGGGATTGAGGTGAAATATCTTCTTCAAACCCTTATCAAACGTGAAACGACCCATAAAAGTTTGGCAAACAGAGATCCGTTAAGCTGACTCCAATGTAACATTAAGTAAAGAAAAACTAAAAAATCATCCATTAAGTATAGAAAAACTTAAAAAATGAAGGATCCCAAATTTGGAAATAGTAATATTGGAGAAAAATGATGAAAATGGGTATCATCCTCAAATTTGGAGATGAAGGTTTGTGGAAAAGCATTGGAGTTGATCTTACTAGGGATTCTTTTGTCATTGATTATCGGAGCATGATGCTGCGTGTAATTTGGTCTTCGTTAGGCCACAGGCCACAGCCCACTAGCCAGAAGCCCACAACAAATTAAAAAATAGGATAAAAACCGAAAACCCCCAAAATCGTAAATCGGATCCCTAATTTCGTAAACCCGAACCAAAAAGGGGAAAATCCGGGAAGGACGACGCCGAGGAGCGAGAGCAGCGAAAGAAAAGCAAAGCGGCAGCCGAGGGCTCAGACCAACCAACCAACCTTTGATAGTTTACGAGGCTGCTAAACCCCTGCTCTCAGATTTTAACTCCTCTTATTCAAAAAACACACGAGCCCGGTAAAACGACCGTTTGATTACCCATTCCCGCCATGATGGCTCAGCTCGACCACCCTCAACAGCTCTCACCAGAGTCTCAACCTTCTCCAGAGGGCGTCGAGCAGACCAAATCCCTCATCTCTGCTCTCGGTTTCGTCTCGCGGAACCTCCCTCTGCCTCCCCACCTCTTCCAAACCGTCTCCTCTATCTATCTTCAAGAACCCCACGATGATAACCCACCGGCGGATGATCGGGTCGCGGGCGAGGTGGGTGCGCTGCGTTGTTCTTGAGTGCCCATTTGGTTATTTGGGGGTTCTGGTGGGATTTGATGGGAACCCCTTTTGGTTTTTT